ACCTGAGCCGAAATCAAGAGTCGGACGCTCAACTGACTGAGCCAGCCAGGCGCCCCACGGCCATCTCAACGTTGATGGGATAAACTGTGTCACTGGGAGGGGTTCAAGCTGGACATGGGGATACCATCTCCCAAGTGTCTACCCCTCGGAGTGGTCACCCTTGTCTCCCGCCGTCAAAGGAGATAAGATCTTGGAAGTATTTATGGTTCTCGTCAGGCCCTTTCATTTCACAGATGGGAAAACAAAGCACCAGTCCAAGTCACCCAGAGCGACAGTGGCAAAGCCAGGCCTGCATTCCAGGTCCCCTAATCTCAGACAGGAGCTTTCTCTCCCATCAGATGCTTCTTTCTCTTTCTCCCCACCCGGTGCATTGTCCCTGTCCTGTGGCAAGAGGCTGACAATCTACACCCAGGTCTGCCATGGATTAATGAATTAAAATAAATATTTACAAGCACCTGCTGTGTGTCAAGCACTCTTCTAGATGCTGGGGTTACAGAAGAGAACAGGACAGGCAAGAGGGTAATAGCCATTAAATAGGTAAATAAATAAATAAATAAGGTAATTTTGTTACAGTAATAATTGCTACAAGGGAAATATCAACTGGCCGAGATGAGTAATGGGGGAGTGTGGGCTACTCCAGTTACAGTGGTCAGGGAAGGCCTCTCTGAGGGGACATCTGAGCTGAGACTCGCCAGACAAAAAGGAACCAGTCATGGGAAGATCTGGGGGCAGAGCATTCTAGGCAGAAAGAACAGCAAATGCAAGGGTCCTGGGGTAGGACCCAATATGGCCCACCCAGGCACTGCAAGGAAGATCACGCTGGTTGGGAGATGGGGGAGGGGCAGGGAGTTCGAATAGGCAGGGGCCAGACCACATAGGACCTTCCTGTGTGCTGTTGGGCCTAGAGTCTGCTCTCCCTGGGCTCTGTTCTCCCCCATTCTCATAAAAGAGATTCTATTGAAAGGACTCTCAGGTCCCCCCCCTTCTGTTTTTTGACACTGAAGAATTGTGACCTGTGGCATCTTTTCTACCCATGGTTGGCAGTCTAGAACATAGCCAGGCACTGTGGTTTCTGCCTTTGCTTCACTCACGGCGCACTCCCGCGGTCTGGAACACGACCTAGCTGTTCTGTGGGCCTCTTGCTCTCTGCGGCACTCTGTGTACTCCAGAAGGCAGAACCTCTTGGGGACACCTGAGGTAGCCAACACAGAAGTGTCTGGGTTAGTGCAGCACTATGGCTGCTTTAGCCCAAAAAGGCAGGAGTACAAAATACCAAGGCCAGAAAGAGTTAGGTTTAGTGACAAAAGAAATCAAGACCAAAAAGAGATAGAAACCGCTGGAGGAGAGAGGGACAAAGTTAGAGACTCCCCAAAGACCCCCTGAATCACTCCACACCTATAAAATGGGGGCAGTCATATCTCTTTCCCAGTCAAACTCACACAGAGAAAGGCAATTGCTGGGATCCAAATCCCTAAGGGATTTGTGGGAGAGACCTCTGAGGTCTCTGCCCTTCCACACTCAGAAGGCCTCATTCCCGGTCTCTGGCTACCCGCAGGCCCCACCATGCCCGGACCTCCTGCCTCCCCCTCTTCATTTTTGTGGGACCATCCTCCCCACAACAGCTGGGAAAGGAATCTGGGTCGCCAGGCCCCTAGAACAACAAATATTAGACATCTATTCCCCAAGAGCTGTTCTCCAGCTCTTTCGCACAACCCCCCCCCTCCCCCCCCC